GTTTGCTTGACTGGTACTTGGAAGACAAGGGAACATTGACCAATGAGAAGGTAGAAATCATCTGACTAATAACCGCTACATCTTGGAAAATAAGGGAAACTAGATATGTTAGTCAACTATCGTATTTTGACTATGCAAGTATATCGGCGTATGATGTTTTTCGTGGTCTTTGGTCTTTGAGAACGCCTCTCTGCAGGTGATGTGGTAGCCTGTGGCGAGATTTTCGCTTCGTTGGCAGTATCTGGCCACGTAATTTGCGTGGCCTCCTCATCGTGACCACTAGGTGCAATTATTTTAGGAGATTCCTGGAACCGGTGTGGGATAGGAAGGGAATACACGTTTTTGAACTAACTAAGAACTGTCACGCTCAGAATCAATGTGTAAGAGGTTCTTCTTGGTAGTAAGTCTGTCTAAGAACTCTAATTCTAATGAGTAATGTATACTGGGGCACTTTCTATTGTATTCTATACTTATCCACCACCAGATCGCTCCTGCTCCGACGCAAGGAACCCTAACCAACTATCCGTCTGCAATAGCAAACCTAAACCCTGTCCGCCCTTTAAATATCACGAAAAATGTTGCATATTAAAGGCGTCTCGTAGGTCCCAGATTCTACCTATGCGTGGTACCGACGATAAACCTCCCTGCTCCCCGGCGTATCCCACAAGTATCCACCGTCTAGAAGAGGGATTCTAAGGTCGGAGATGCTTAGCATCCCTGTGTTATAGAGAAGGTTCGCTTTGAACAGAGCTAGCGCTAGTCGATTAGTCTCTTCTACCTATGTCCACGAGAATAGTAGCGATTTATTTGGCGTCAGCTGTGCACGGATGCGGCCGTAGCAGAATAAGCCACCGGCGATACAAGTTGTCGTTAGTGCGCGGACTATCGATGAGCAACGGTTCTGCAGATCTGGAGGGGCCTCTCTCATCGGTGCGAATATCACGTTCAGAAGGACGGCTTGGAATGTCGACATCGGCCATGATGTATCCTTGAAGTCTTTCTGCGACTTCCAGTCTCCCTGCGCATGTGAGAATAGTTACGAAGGCCGATGGACCGAGAAAGATTCAGGGAGCTCACCATGCGACTCTCTAACAATGTCACTAATTTCTCATGCATATTCTTCGCTCTTGTCCGCGCAGCCCTCCCGCCAGTAACCCATAGCCCGATCATAGCAAAGCTTAAGATCAGAACATGTGGTTGCGAGTCTTTACTTAGGTGGAAGGAGGGCTTGTGAATGATCGGCCATTGAGAAGGAAAATGCGCGAAGTATATCTCAACATGGTAGTCGATATCCAGCTGCCCTTGATCGCCTTCGCCATTTCTCTCCGTTCGAGTAAGCAGGGTGGTTTCGCGGAGATAGTTCTCATGTTGCATGTCTACCCCCTGCTGACGGCATCCAACTTACGCCAACAGGCCTTGTAGGGAGTTAAGTCTAGATATGTGCGGCAGCCATTACGATAACGATTACATCTTTCAGCCCCAACTGCTTAAACCATGGAGCCCTGATTCACAACATTATCCCCCTACCCCACGGTACTGTATGTACTTCCTACTGCTGCGCGGTCCCTCTTTTTCCCCACCTGCTCCGCTATTCTCACTGCTTGTGATGTGGGTCATATTATGAATTCCCGTCGCCACCTTTGCTGCCCCGACCTCCTATTCCCCGCTCACCTTTTACTCTGCGTCTACCCTTATACTAAACACTTAATACAGATGTCTTCTTCCCGGTTCAGGCCGACTCGTCCTCATACGCCAACTACCAAAGCCTCAGTAGATGAAGAATCGGGAACAATCGTATTACAAGACGACTTAAAAATGCGAAGACTCTCAGCAGCCTGCAAAGAGTGTCAGCGTCGGCGGACCAAAGTAAGGATCCTAAATCATATCGCATACTTAGCTATTAACTTATTGATGTCTCAAACAATAGTGCAGTTCTGGAAATCCGTGCTTGGAATGCACGAAGCATGGCTCTATTTGCATATTAGATAAGAGCTCCGACAAGCGACGCAAAAGCTACGTAAGGAAGATGGACGAAGAACTTGGTTACTATCAGAGGTTTTTGGACGACTTTCTGAGGGCAATCCGGAAATCTAATGATGATGACGTCCATCACATCATCAATATTGTGCGGTCGGGGTCATCAACCAGTGGAATACAATTTGAGGTGGACGACGTTCTTATGGGGAATAATCATTCTGGGCCCGCAGTATGATTTATGCAAAACCACTCAACAAAGCTCTGAGCGGATTTCACAGATGGCTGCTGATGCGGGAGTCGACCTGATTTATATATTCTCATACTCGCCGGACCTGCAGATGCCAGTATTCTCTGCAAATGTATTACAGTTAATTTACGAAACTTTCCATCACGTGAGGAACCCTTTCAATACGATTCAGTATTTGAATCCGAGCTAATCCTGGACTGGATTAGTGTGTTTCGGAACTGGGCTCGAGACAGATTCTGTGAGAACAAAGTGGTGAAACTAACTTCGAGCCATCCTGTACACCCTGGCGCCATGTAGAGCTCTTTTTTGGTCGGGCTGACAGTCGCTCTTTAGTTGAGGGGAGT